AACTACCGAGCGGCCAATTGTGGGGTGGGGCCTGGAGCTAGGACTCGACCCCTGCAACCACAAACGAGTACACAAAACCAGTATCATACTGTCACCTCAGTCTAGTTATAACGGCCTTTAACCCCAACCAGCATATTTCAGCTTTGTTTACTGTAACTAACCTTCAGTAATAATAACTTACAGAAAACAACTTTCTCAAAATGCATAAATAAATATATATATTGTCCTTTCCAAAATTTTATTTTGTACATTTAAAGATATATATTTTTTTCATTTATGTTAATGTAAAAATTAATAATTTTATACCAAAAGAGCGTTAGGAAACTTACCTAACATTATACAGCGTAATTTAATTTAGCCTAATCCAGATAAAATACTATTTTAGATAAAGTTTACAATAATTAAATATATATGAATGGTACAAAGAACCAACAAGTTAATAAATTAAAACACATGTGCAACACTTGGGTATCTGTATTGAGGAAACGTTTCGCCCACAGTGACTTCATCGGTCCATACAAGGTTCAGGACTGATGGACTGATTACATCGACACAAGGCTGAGGGACTGATTACCTCAAACTCCTCCTGCTCTTCACCATTCCCTTTTGTATGGACTGATGAAGTCACTGTGGGCGAAACGTTTCCTCAATAAAGATACCCAAGTGTTGCACATGTGTTTTAATTTATCAACTTGTTGGTTCTTTGTACCATTCATATATATTAAATTATTGTAAACTCATCTAAAATATATTTTATCTGGATTAGGCTAAATTAAACTGCGCTCGTTATAATAAGGTTAGGTAAGTTTCCTAAGGTTCTTTTGGTATAAAATTGTTAATTGTTACATTAACATACGTGAAAAAAATGTATATCTTTAAACTTACAAATTTTTTTTATAATGGACTAAATTTTAAATGAGTTCTTGCTGATTGACCAATTTTACCTATTCGGTACGAGAAAAGAATATTCAAACAGCTTCAGGGAGAGCCCTGAGTTTTTGCTGAAGCAAGCGTATTCTTTTCTCTGAGGATGAGGGTCCCTAGGACAGTTCCAGAGGTGGTACTTCTCTATTTTTATATCGGGGGGGAGGGGGGGGGAAGAGGAGAGAGAGAGAGAGGAGAGAGAGAGATGAGGAAGAAGAGAGAGGAGAGAGAGAGGAGAGAGGGGAGAGAGAGAGAGAGAAAAGAGAGAGAGAGAAGAGAGAAAGAAAAGAGAAAGGGGAAAGAAAGAGAAAGAGAGAGAAGAGGGAAAGAGAAGAGAGAAAGAGAGAGAAAAGAGAGAAAGAGAGAGAAAGAGAAGAGAGAAGAGAGGAAAGATAGAGAGAGAGAAGAGAAGAGAGAGAAAGAGAGAGAAAGAGAAAGAGAAGAGAGAGAGAGAGAGAAAGAGAGAGATGAGAAAGAGAGACAGAAGAGAGAAGAGAGAGAGAAGAGAGGCAGAGAGACAGAGACAAGAGAAAGAGAGAGAAAAGACACACACGAGGTGCAATAAATCATAGTCCACCTCCAGGACTAAGGGCTGATGCCTCGCTGTACCAGAAGGGGCACACATGCCAACAACTACCTGCGAGGATACCAGGTGCAATAAGCACAGAGACAAGGACATCAGGAGGAACCAGTGTAGGAAGAAAAAATGGAAACTTGACAGGACCAGGGAGCCACTGTTTAGTAGGGACCTGTTCTGCAGAAAAACAAGGACCAGGATCTCTGAATTGGCGAAATAGACTTCACAGTCCAACCACTCAGCCACTCCTATCCCAGCCAGCAGGTGGTATTGTGCCTTATACAAGACCACAGACCTACATCTCTGCAGCTGCCTCAGTACCCTACCTCTCTCAAGGGCAGGCACCTTACATGCCCTACACACCCACCACCTCAAGCTGACCACATCATGAGGAGCCAGTCTATCAGCATTCTGTCGGCCAACATTAGAGGTCTCATTACTAATGTTTGAGAGCTCACACAATTTTGTGAACACTCGACGTCCCGACATGATAGCTGTCGTTGAAAAATTTTTTGATGACAGGACTCCAGAAAATTTTGCGAGAATTGTTGACTACACCTCATGGATGAGAAGAGACAGGCAAGGGCAAGGTGGTGGTGTTGCTGTGTGCTTCTCTAAAAGTGTTCATGCCCAGCACATTGATGTTGCCACCACTACACATCTTGAAGTAGTGTTCTTGAAGCTCTGCATAAACACTAGTACCTCTGTACTAGCATGTGCAATGTACAGACCTCAGTGGCAACATGCAGACCCCATCAACTTCCTAATGGAAAATATTGACTCCCTTCCGCTACAACACAACTTTCAACATATTATAATTGTTGGTGACCTCAACCAGCACCTTATACAGAGGGACTTTGATGACCTTCTTGCAGCGTTTGACATGAGAAACTTTGTTGATTTTCCTACTCACATCTCTGGCTCCTCCCTTGACCCAGCAGTGAGTGATCTGGCAGAAGGCATAGTCACTTATCAACCCCTCGGCTATGTTGGATCGTCTGACCAAAAGGCTGTTTTTACGACACTTAAGATCCCAACAGAACGAGGTGAGGAGTCCACACGCACAACCTGGCTATGGGAAAGAGGTAATTGGCCAGCCCTTTGCTCTGAGCTCGCCACCACCGATTGGAATGCTCTTCTCCAAGGGGATGTTGACAACCAAGTGAAAGCCTTCACTGGACACATCCTTAATCTACAACAAGAAGACATTCCTCACCGGCAATATGTGACGAAACCTACTGATCAGCCTTAGTTTGGCTTTCGTTGTAGAGAGGCTGCTACTGCTAAGTACAACGCACGGCGAAGGTATAAGAGACATCCTACCACCTATAACAGGAACTTGCACAGGCAAGCCTGTAGGCATATGGCTGACGTTCAAAAGTGGGCCACTGCTAAATGGGAGGTGGACACTAAAAGAAAGCTAGCATCAGGCAGGGTAGGCTCCAAAACCTGGTGGTCCCTGGTCAAGGACAGACAAGGTTATCTGCCTGATGAACTCATTCCACCTCTAAATCGACAGGATGGGACCACCTCTACTAGTAGTCAAGAGAAGGCGGACCTCTTTGCTGAACACTTTGTTACCAAAATGCAAGTTCCTGATCCAGCAAGGGACCCTCCTTGGCTAGCTGCAAGAACTGTGTCAAAACTGTCAGTGGTGACAATAAGGCAGGAGGAGGTGCATTTCCTTCTTAAATCGCTTGACCAAGAAAAGGCTGTGGGCCCAAACAAGTTGAGCCCAAGATTGCCGAGATGTGCAGACCAGCTAGCAGCACCTCTAGCTCGCATCTTTCAGCACTGCCTAGTACAGTGTAAATGGCCCTCTCTATGGAAAGAGGCAAATGTAGTCCCTGTTCACGAAAAGAAGAGCAGAGCAGAAATCAGCAACTGCAGACCAGTGTCACTCCTGTCAATCACTGGTAAGATCCTTGAGACAATAATCTCAAGACAAATGACAGAGTTTTTTGACTATCACTCACTACTTTGTGATCGTCAATATGGCTTCAGGAAAGGTTACTCTACTGCTGATCTGTTAAACCTCTCCACTAAATGGCACCAGTCACTGGATGAATCCAAAGTCAGCTGTGTGGTAGCATTGGACATTGCTGGCGCTTTCGACCGGGTGTGGCACCAGAGCCTCTTAGCAAAACTTCAAGCACTGGGAATTGCAGGCTCTACGCTATGTCTCCTCAGTGATTACCCTCATGGTAGATCTCTAAGTGTAGTTCTCAATGGAACGGAATCAGCAAGACATCCTATTGGGACCATTGTTATGGAATGTCTACTTCAACGACCTTCTTCATCTCATCCCAGAATCACATGCATATGCAGACGACTGTACACTGACATTCACTTATCCAAGAGAAGAAATGCCAGCTGCTCTAAGCTACATCAATCACCAGCTGAGAGCTATATCAGCTTGGGAAAATAGATGGCAAGTAACATTTGCACCTGAGAAAACGCAAATGATGATCGTCTCTAGGCACCATGATGGTAATGCTCGTGCAGTAGTAAGGATGAATGGGAGGGTGATGGCACCTGGGGTGAAATTTGACTCCAAACTAACTATGAAGAACCATGTTGTAAATCTTGCAAAAAAGGCAGCCAGGAAGCTTACAGCACTTCGCCGTATCTCGCATCTGCTTGACAGTAGGGGTTGAAAGATTCTGTACGAGGCACAAGTACGCTCACACCTTGAGTATGCTCCACTTTCTTGGTTTGCCTGCCCCCCCCCCTCTCATCTGCGACTGCTTGACAGAGTAGAGAACAGAGCAAGACGACTCATCTCTCGCCTGGACCCATCCTGGATAGATCTGTCATTTCAGCAGAGCCTTCAACATAGGAGGGATGTGGAAGGCCTTACTGTTATGTACAAGGTCAATATTATCAAAGTACCACACTTGGATCCACTTCGAGGGCAGCGTGAAACAAGTTTTTATGCCACAAAACGGGCAGAAAGCAGCAACTTCACTCTGGCTGTACCCTTCTTCAGAACATCACTCCATCTGAGATCATATATACCCAGGATGACTCGAGTATGGAACACATTTGTACAGCATAATGATGCCAAAGAGATAAAGTCAGTTGATCAAATGAAAATGCTGGCCCACAGATGGCTCCAATTTCACCCTGTTCCCTACTTGTATGTCTCATAACAATAAAAATGCTTTCAAATGAGCTGATGTAGGTAACAGCTCTTAGCTTGCCAATAAAGTTAGGAATCCTTAACCTGTTAAATAGCTTGTCAATAAAGCTAGGGATCCTTAACCTTGTCAAACCCCGTGTAAAAAAGAGAGAGAGAGAGAGAGAGAGAGAGAGAGAGAGAGAGAGAGAGAGAGAGAGAAGAGAGAGAGAGAGAGAGACAGAGAGAGAGACAGAGACAGAGACAGAGACAGAGACAGAGACAGAGAAAGAGAAAGAGAAAGAGAAAGAGAAAGAGAAAGAGACAGAGAGTATTATTTGTTTCCAAATTAATTCACCAGCTGGTCGTCTTTAATATATACTATATATACACAATCACAGGAAAAGGTGTTCGTGTATGCAGGAAGTACTTACGACAGGCGCCGGCGTGAGCCAAGGTGACGTTGGCTGCGGAAGTGCAAGAATATCTTAGAAGATGGCATCGTGAAGCGTATGTCACCCCGTCAGTGCCACACACGGGTCTGTCGCTACGACACCCCGACGGACACAGGCACTCTCCTCGCTGGCACTCTCCATACGGACACACCACACCCTGGCACAGCTCCTCTGTCGAGGGAAAAGAAATTACTAAATTACTAAATTACTAAATTAAATTTTACTTATTTACTAATGAATGGGAAGCTCGATCCTCCGTCCGCTACCTGACGGAAATTTCCTCAGGAGTGTAACTAGCATGACATTAATGTGAGAAATAAAACCCACTGGGAATGACTTTTGCATCAAGATTGATTTGTAACAAGCTATTGTTGTTTTATAATTTACAAAATGCTTACACATTGAAACTGAAGACTGGACAACACTTCTGTCCATCCTATACAGCTGTCCAGTGGCAAACATAACTTGATATCTGACCAGAACGGAACGAACCTTAGTATATTTGTGGTAGCTTTACAAGCCTTGACAGGGGTGCATCCTGGGCTCAGAATTATGCTTTGGTAATGACATCTTAGGCTGGCCGTGGCCACACAGACCGTGGCCACACAGACCGTGGCCACACAGACCGTGGCCACACAGACCGTGGCCACACAGACCGTGGCCACACAGACCGTGGCCACACAGACCGTATATACTTTACTCTCTCTGACACTTGCATACAAGTACCTTCTACGTTCTGTCCTCCCCATCTCTGTCTGGTGTACCTGGATCTAGCGCTACCCTACCTTACCAGAGATCTGTACAGTTTACCTGTAAATAATTGAAAAACATCCAAGATTCTAGCTCTTCAATCCACAACAATATCTGAGCAAGAGCGAGACAGATGAGTTAAAGTCAACAAGTAATGAATAGACGTAATTGAAAAAGAGGAACTTTACCTAGACGTTTCTCGTGTCTACAGTCCTCTCCAAATATTGACTAAAAAAGACTTTCTTTTTTTTCTTGCCACACATCCAAAAGTACTGTGTATCACTTTGATGCAGAGTGCGCAGGTTCGAATCCTTCTCTAGACCGAGATATAATGTTAGTAAATAATTTCACCTGTTTGCGAACTGCTAAGAATATGCATATTTACAATCAGGCGTTTTATTGTGATTATTATATATATTTTACATTATATAATATATATTATATATATATATATATATATATATATATATATATATATATATATACATTATATATATATATATATATATATATATATATATATATATATATAAAAACACATTATATATATATTATATATATACAAACATATTATATATATATATATATATATATATATATATATATATATATATATATATTTTATATATATACACATTATATATTTTATATATATACATTATATATATATACACACACACATCCATCCATCCACATACTCTCCTACACACTTCTTGACGAAGCTATGCATAGCGTCAACACTGCCTTGTGTACTAGACCAACTGAACTCCGCCACACACTCTCCTATCGACACCTCCAGCCTTCACGATACCAAAATATCAGGGGAAACACCTTTCCCTTGAGCCAGTGTTAACAAAAAAAGGGGGAGTGCACCAGAAAAATGTGAATCTGGGAGAAATAGCGTAGATTTGATGGAAGGGGAGAGAGAGTGAGGCGAGCATGGAATATCCTTAAACTGCTAAGTAAACTCGGTTCCTGCGGGTACTTGCGTGTCTCTGTAAACCCAGGTGATGGTAGAGCAAACATGCTTTCACCATGAGCGATGCTGCCCTCGCTTAGTTTACAATGGGATAAGACAGAGCTTAGGAAGATACACATTCAGTGTTTTCTTTCGTATAATATATTCCAGAGATACTTGCGAGCGTATACACGCTGTATAAACATACATGACCTATGTAAGCATATACATATAAGCATATACACGATATGTTTACTGATATATACGCGACACCTACACTTACAGAAACAAATTATATACATGTTTGCATATATAACCTTAACGAGTGAACTATGTATTTACAAAGTGAACGAGTTAATCTATTGGACTCTTCAAAATTAAATACTGTAGTAAGAATTACGCAAGTGTTTACGCTCGCCTGAAGATGAGTTTCAGTTAGACAAAAAATATTTACGTATTTTGTATATTGTTGAAGTGTAATTGTCGACTAAACTTTCTATATATTTGTGATGGATTCCTTGAACCTTTTCCGTTTTATACCCTATACTATAATAATAACATATATCGTGCCGAATAGGTAAAACTTGCTATTTTGGCTTGAATAACAACGCTCTTCTTGAAGAATAAGGCAGTGATAATTTCACAAAAATCATTCTGAACCTAACAAAAAAATTATATTTCATTATGCTTACTTATTATTTTAAAATATATTTAGTTGGATTAGGCTAAATTAGGTAAGTTTTCTAAGGTTCTTTTCGTATAAAATTATTAATTTTTACATTAACATAAATTAAAGGTATAAAAGAAAATTTTAGAAAATACTTAATTTTATACGAGTTCTTGCTAATTGACCAATTTTACCTATTCGGCACGGCATTATATGTATGTCCTACACGATTATGTCTTCGCAGTCAAGTTACCGGAGGTCAGACACGAGTACTTGCACACCCGCAGCAGCTTCGTCGTAAATGAAAATACGACAGAGGGTACAGAAGAGATCATTTAAAGCATAACCGCAAATTTGGAAAAAGTAAATAGAGAAAAACCATACCAGGAAATTTTGAGAGTTTTCATGAACATGAAAACGGTCTGGGTTACCTATTTTTTTTTTTTTTACTGTGGTAAGTTTTTTTTTATTCTACGGTATGTGAAGCAGCTTAATGATAATGTTGTATCTCTATCAACAGTAGCTCTGCTATATGCAGTAACCAGTGGGCATTATCTGTATTAAAATCAGTTCGCTTATTTTCTCAGTTTATTTACAAGAGGCCCGTTATGAAAACAAATGCATAATGACTTCTTTGAAATAATATTATCAGTCACGCTGAAGTACTCTACGGTTCACACTAAGGACCCCAAGTTCAGTCCCGGGCAAGTACGTACATTTAGGGAAGTCTCTGAACACCCGCTAGTACTGGCCCACTAGCAGTAACAACAGTTCTTAGCAGACTATTGTACGTATTCCTTGCCAGGTGGTAGTACTTGTACCAATGGGTTTTGAAATGAGCATAGACAGGATAACAGCTCTTGGCCCGTCTATTCCACTGTCTAAAAATAGTAAAACATCAAGGACATTATTCTATAGTTGCTGGAAAACACACATCTCTTCTCCTGTGAAGCGAAGTTGCTCCTGCCTTCCTCCAGACAGAGGACCATTTACACTGTGCCAGGTCGAGTTGGTAGAGCTGAGGGAGAGGCGCCGGCAGTTTGTAGAGTCATCCGCACACCAGTTTAAGGCTCACTTCGTCTGGCTGCACAGTTCTTCCTGGGTTCAGGGATTCAAGAAGACCGATTTTGTATTTTCTTTCTGTCTCCTGAGGCATCTTGGAAACAGTTCTTGCAGGTTGCTTCTATCGTTGTCTATCTTTATATGTATATGTATAAAAAAAAACACTGGAGTGAAAACAGGAAAAAAACACCTCTGTGCATTTATATTTTTCCCTATTTTCATTGTGATATATTTATATATTTGCAAAAACGTGTTTCTGATTTCTTCCATGTATATGTATGTATCTTTGTCTCTCTCAAACTCTTGCTAAAACACAACACACAACATACAAAACACACACACACACACACACACACACACACACACACACACACACAGTCAAAGACCAGGTGATCAGATTAAGGACAGAAGGTGGAGAACTCACAAGAAATGATCAGGAGGTATGTGAGGAGCTGAACAGGAGATTTAAGGAAGTTTTTACAGTAGAGACAGGAAGGGCTGTGGGAAGACAGAACAGAAGGGAACATCAAGAGGGAATATACCAACAAGTGTTGGATGACATACGATCAACTGAGGAGGAGGTGAAGAAGCTCTTAAGTGACCTTGACACCTCAAAAGGCGATTGGGACCCGGACAACATCTCCCCATGGGTCCTTAGGAGAAGGAGCAGAGATGCTGTGTGTGCCTCTAACCACAATTCTTCAACACATCCGTCTTTGAAACTGGGGCAACTTAAGCTGAGAAAATGAGAGACAGCTAATGTATGTCCCCAGATATTTAAGAAAGGAAAAAGAAACGAGGCACTAAACTACAGAACCTGTGTCTCTGACATGTATTGTGTGCAAAGGTCAATGGAGGAAGATTATTCACGGAGGAGAGTGGGTTTCGAACACTGTGGAAAGGAACAAAGATTATAAATAAAAACCAGCTGTGGGTTCATGGAAAGGCAATCTTGTATCACAAACCTCCTGGAGTTTAGTATGACTACGGGTTAACAGAAGTAAGACATGAGCAGAGAGGGTTCAGGGTAGGTACTGCGTTTTCCTAGACTGATAGGAAGGCCTTTTGACACAAGTTCCCCACCAAGAGATAGTGCAGAAGCTGAGAGGCGATCAGGCACACGTTAAAAGAATGAGGCACTGCAAGGATTAAGGGGAATACCTGACCAGAGAAGGCAGCCAAACGAGTCACGGTACGTGAAGAGGTATCACAGTGGGCGCCTGTTACGAGCGGGGTCCCACAGGGGTCAGTTCTAGGACCAGTGTATTTTTGATTATGTTTGAACGACATGGATGGAAGGAATAGGACTCTGAAGTGTCCCTGTGCGCAGATGACGTGAAGTTGATGAGAAGAATTGATCGGAAACCGCGAGGGATGAGGCAGGACTGATGCCAAAGAGGACCTGGAGAGGCTGAGACATGTGGTCCAGTATGGACACTTCTCTCGAATTCATTCCAGCCCGAAGAAATGCAAAGTCATGAAGGATTGGGGAGGGCAAAGAAGAGACCGCTAGACAGCGTTAGGCTAGGTGGACAAAGACGACGAGACCTCTGAACTCAGGGAGAAAGACCTTGGGGTGACCATAAGTCACCGAGCACCATCACCGGAAGGCAACATCAACCAAAGAACCGTCTGCAGCATACGGGCGCATGGCAAACCTGGAGAAGAGCGTTCCGATACCTTAATAAGGAATCGTTCAAGACCACTGTTACACTGTGTATGTTAGGCCCATAC